TTTTTTTTTTTTTGATAACATGATTCATCTATGAACAATATCATAGTTCTACTTGATTTATTTCGATCGAACATGTATCCGCTTCCTGGTTGGGCTTCTAGGATATCTATAAGGAAAATAAAGTAAAGTCAACAAGTTTTAGATGACTGATAGTTGAGATGCATTTTCACCATTTCGTGTTTTCTGTTAATATTGCCTAGATAAAATATGAAGTTGACTCTTTATTCTAAAGGGAGAAATCATTTATAGTTTATATTTGTTACTCATCTCAGGGTTCAGTGTACATGTGGTTCATGTGGTACAAGGAAGTGTGGGCTCAATGAGTGGGAACGGCATACAGGATGTAGAGCGAAGAAATGGAAGTACAGTGTTAAAGTGAAGGGCTCTAAATTAACACTTGAAAAATGGGTTCGTCCTCGAACATACTTGTATTTTATTATGTCTTATTAGGAATATTTTATCTCAATAAACCCTGTTGATCAGTGTGCTCAAAATAAAAATGAAAATCTACAAGAACATAAAGTATTACATCTCATGTGAATATGTGGTAATCGACCTTGTTTGTTGCTGCTTGTAGAATGTGTACTCTATAAAGAAACTATAACCGGCTTGTAATTCAATCTCAAGAATATCGCTTCTACAGATTGTGTTCTTGATTTTATCTTATAACATCAGTTTAATACAGATGTCGCTGTACAATTTACATGGCTTCAGTTCTACTCGGTTGGATAAGCAGCAGTTGTTTTCTTTTCTGAAAGGTTGTAGCCGGGTGTGGTTTGGTGCACAATACTTGTTTGTTCTTATTAATGCAATTGTTATGCATAAAACATTTAGGGTCCAACTACTGACTGGTCTCACTTTGCAGAAAATTACCATCCTGTTCATGCAAAGTGGACCACTGAAAGATGTGCTATTTGTAGATGGGTTGAAGACTGGGACTACAACAAAATAGTAATATGCAACAGGTATAATAGTTGTAGTCATGTGGTTCATAGACACCTGTAAAAGCTGTTTTTTGTTTGTTACTACGATAATCTCCACATTCTAGGTGTCAGATAGCAGTACATCAAGAATGTTATGGAGTGAGGAATACTCAAGATTTTGCTTTGTGGGTATGCCGTGCATGTGAAACCCCAGAATTCGAGAGGGAATGTTGCCTCTGTCCTGTAAAAGGCATGTATTTTTATATAGCTTGATTTCTTAAAATTATGCAGTTTAAAGGTCATTGAATTTTTATAATTGAAAACGTCTATGCCAGGGGGTGCACTGAAGCCAACTGATGTTGATGATTTATGGATTCATGTTACCTGCGCGTGGTTTCGCCCAGAAGTTGCTTTCTTAAACGCGGAGAAAATGGAGCCTGCTGTTGGGCTTCTTAAAGTTCCACCAAACTCGTTTGCTAAGGTAGCATAATTCAGAGGATTAGCATATTAGCAACTTCTTGTTAATTCAAGGTCTCCTCCAGAAAACATTTGTAAAACTGAATAGATGGCTAGTGTGATGGTGTAGTATTCATGATATATTACATATAAAAGAAGTTCCAATAATTAGACTTCATTGACTGGTTTGGCAATTTTGATTTGTATAAACTGAAATGTTTGGTTTCTACTTCATCCAGTCATTGAATTATTTTGTTGGAAATTTACTTGTTTTAATATGTTTTAAATGTAATTATGCAGGCATGTGTTATTTGCAAGCAGATTCACGGTTCTTGCATGCAGTGTTTCAAGTGTGCCACTTATTTTCACGCAACATGTGCTTCTCGTGCTGGATATTGCATGGAAGTAAGTTACATTTGTAGTTTTTATTTGTTATTTTACTAGCATTGATATCCTCGTATCATGTTATATTCTGCACTTATTCATTGTATTTTATGTCTTATTAGATTCTTTTTGAAGTATTTTCTCTTAAAGAATTGCTCTGTTGATTTTCTCTTGTACTTTATGTTTGAGTTCACCCTAATATGCATTCCTATTTTCTCTACTCTTTTATTGAGTAATTTTGTTCCTTGATTTCAGTTGCATTGCGTTGAAAAGAATGGGGTGCAAATAACTAAATGGATATCATATTGTGCTTTCCACAGGTATGATTATGTGGCCATACTCTTCAGTTCCAGTCTTGACATTTACATCAGGCATGCTAATCAGAATGAATTTGGCTTAAATAGATAACTCTCTCGATGGAGATTGTATGCACTTTAGTTTTGCATGTTTGTGAATTGCTGTATGTACACTCAATGACGTACACCATATACTTGGTTAACGTATGGTTTTGTCTGTAGTACGTATGATAGCCGTGTGAGGTCAATTAGGCCCACATATCAGATGAAAAAAGATAGAATCATGATACTATTAAACCTCCACTACAGGGTATCTGCAACTACAAACAGAGTGATCAATGTTGTGAACCCTCTGATTCTTATTTGAACGCATTTTAGCGATTAAAGATGTAATTAATAGTTCATTTTGCATGAAGACCTAAAAAATTACAGTGAACCATACATATTTGCCTTGGCCATTCTTCTTTATCCCTTTGCTTTTGTATCCCAACTTCTCAACACTCACTACCTTCTGTCTCAGGACACCTAGTGCGGAAAATGTTCTAGTGATTCTGACCCCGGATGGGGTTTTTTCTAACAGAAGTTTGCTCCAAGGCCAGTATCAAGAACAACGCTCGAGAGGTTCAAGGTTAATCTCAACAAATACTGTCAAGTGTTTGGATTCATCTCCTGCTGATTCTAATGAGTTCGAAGAGATATCTGCAGCAAGGTGCCGTGTTTACAAACGACCAAATGTTAAGGTTACCTGATCATTAGCTATTATATGGATCATTGTGATAATTTTTAGAAATGCTTTTTGCTTGTTATCAGTTTCTCTTTTATATTTTAGTTTTTGATCTCTCACCTACCTGTTTTGTTTAACAGGGGAGAGGAACAGAATCAGTTTTCCACCGCTTGATGGGGCCTCGTCATCATGCTCTTGATGTCATAGATTCTTTGAGTTATCATCATAAAGTAATTAGTATTTTGTGTTTCTAAAAATACATTATCCTTGTTTTGTGACAATTTATTTCTTATCGAATATCGATACAGTTTGATTGTCTCCACTGTTGTTACTTCTTAAGGATATGGAAGAGATGGCATCTTCAACATTCAGTGAACGCTTAGAACATTTGAAGGTAAGACAAAATTTTCTGCAATTTTTCTTTTTAGTTTACCTTTTCTAATTTTGTTCAGTTTGTTCTTCCCTAATCCATCCACAACGGGAAATTGTATAGTAATTTTTTCATGTATTTATTTATATGACAAATTACTTGTTTGATGCTTCAGAAAACAGAGAAATATCGGGTTTGCTTTGGTAAATCAGGAATACATGGGTGGGGCCTCTTTGCAAGGCGAAGCATCCAAGAAGGAGAAATGGTAATATAAATCAGTTCCCTATTTAACTTTTCAAAAACTAATCGAATATTTCTAGTTTATGATCTGGTCTTGCTTCCTCTGATCCTCTCACATCTTTAATCACTATGCTTAAATCCATACAATCTTGAATTCTGGCACTCGTCCAGGTTATCGAATATTGTGGTGAGCAGGTGAGGTGTAGCATTGCTGACCTAAGGGAGAAACGGTATGGGTTGGAAGGCAAAGATTGCTACGTGAGTCAAATCTTCATGGTCCTTCAGATAATACTGTCTTGTGCATGCTCTTGTTTGGTGCCAGGTTCTTTGAGAAAACTGACTTGAAAAGTGTTAGTTTTAATTGCAGATTATGCCCTTGGCCGCACACTCAAATTACTAATAGAAAACATTGCCATCTTTCAGATTTACAAATGATCTCTTGAAATTTGTTTCCATTTTACATACTGTGTCTTTCAGAGCTATAATATCTTTTCTAGTGGAACGCAAACCTTAATGGGTTTTCGTCAATACCTTTTTTTTTGGTTGTTGGGGTGGGCATGGGGGTGGTGGTTATCATTTGTATATTTGAAAGATAGCTGAGTTGTTCTCTGATTAGGTCAAACTTTAAGCCTCATCACATTCCTAAGCATGAAAAATAAATTTTGTATGCTCATTCTCGTTTTTGAATTTTCGGGTTCATTTCATGTGAAATACTGTGGTATATTCATGTTGTGTGCTCTAGCCTAAGCCTGGCCTGGGCTTCTCTATGAAGACGTTGCCGGCTTTATCATGTTTTCTTGTCCTTCACATCAATTTCCCTCATGCGATAAATATCCGCTGCACTCCCTCTCTAATTGTTTGATGCAATGAACGATGCAGCTTTTCAAGGTTAGTGACGAAATAGTAATTGATGCCACAAATAAGGGGAACATTGCTCGATTGATTAATCATTCGGTACGCTCTTCTTTCTTTGACATTTTTTCCATTTCTGATAGTTCTAGTTTTATTCATCTTGTATCCATGTGGTAAACAGTATATTTTGAAATAATGTAAGCATGTGGTGAATTATTGCGCCCAGCATGATTTATTTGTGATGAGTCACTGTTCATATATTTCACTTATGCCTAGTGCTGGATGAAATATGGAACCATGATTGTGATCTCTGTCTGGGGATATATGAAATTACCCCAGCCATATTTCCCTTGATCACAAATGAGGTTCCATATTTTTAGTTCATTATTCTGAAGATCACTACACATGTTAACAAATAGCTAGCTATTGGGATAAAATATGAAATGGGATATTCGTAATTTTGATTTTTGAATGATACTGTTTTATTTATTTATTTATTTATTTTTTTCTGACTCCATTTTATTGATGTTTCGTCTGAATGTATCTAGTTCCTTTTACCGACTCATGTGATGATTTATGTACAAGTTGTGCATATTGCAGTGCATGCCTAACTGTTACGCGAGGATCATGAGCATGGGCAAAGAAGAGAGTCGTATAGTTCTTATAGCTAAGACCAGCGTCTCGGCTGGTGATGAGCTAACGTATGGTTACTTTTCCCTCCACCCTCCAATAGATTATGTAGTTTTCTTTTATCATTGTTGATAGTAATATTATATCTTTCCTCCTCATTGTCTGTAACAGCTATGATTATAAGTTTGAGGCGGATGAGAGTGAGGAGGTTAAAGTCCCTTGCTTTTGTAATGCGCCCTGCTGCCGAAAATTTTTGAACTGAAAGAAAA